GCCGCCTCCTCCCGCATCTCGATGGAGGCCTGCTCACTGTACCAGGCGGCGTGGGGCGTGCAGATCAGGTTTGGCGCGTCCTTCAGGGGGCCCTGGCTGAAGCTGGGGACAGGACGTGATGTGGTCAGAGCGGCTACAGTACCATGGCCCGAGCGGTCAGAGGACGGGCCGCCTGAGGCCTGGGCATTGTCCCGGGCAGGGCCAGCTCCCTCCGGGCTGCCCAGGGTCTGCTCCCCAGCAGCAGCAGCATAGGGGGAGGTGAGGGAAGGGGCTCCCCAGAGACAGCGAGCCCAGGGCACCTGTCCACCATGTGGGGCGCAGGGCCCCTCCCCGCCCGCACCTGAAGGGCTCCGACTCGTGCACGTCCAGCGCCGCGCCGCGTATCCGGCCCTCCTTCAGGGCCTGCGCCAGCGCCTTCTCGTCCACCAGGCCGCCCCGCGCCGTGTTCACCAGGAAGGCGCCCTGTCTCATCTAGAAAACACCACGTGGAGACAGGCTCAGCCAGACCGACAGAGGCAGAGGAGCGGAGGTCCCCGTCGGGGGCGGGAGCTGGGCGTCCTCCCACGCCGCCGTGCGGCCCCACCTCTGTCCTTCACCGGCCTGGTCACTGACCCGGATCGGCCGGGCACCTGGGCCCTGACTTGTCCTGGAGAGAACCTGCTTCTCAGCCTCCCTGGGCGGGGGAGTGGGGGGGTCTTGCCTGCAGGGACTCCGGTGGAGCCCTGTTCCCACACATCCTGGCCTGTGACTTTCTCGTGGAGAGCACTTCCGCGTCCCCACATCCACTCCCAGGACGACGTCAGCCATGGCATGCGGGGATGACAGCGAGTCCCCATCAACTCTGCCCCACTGTGGCCGCACCCCCCAATGCCTGGGCACAGCTTCGCCCGAGCAGGGTCCACCCGCCACACCCTGTCTGCTGTGAGGGCCCTGGAGCCCGCCCTGCAGTCCCTGCAGAATGCAGGGCAGTCTTCCTGCTTCGTCTTCCAGAGGCAAACAAGATGGGCCCTCGCACACACCACGCATGAGCGCGCGGGCACACGTGCGTGGGCACAAACAGGTGTCTACATACAACGTGCAGACACATGCAAGACAGGCATGCAGCTACACATGTCACACCTGCTCACACACACGGGCAGGTATGCACATCTGTGCACATTTACGTGTCTACACACCAGCGTGCATGCACAAGGGCATATGGCACAAGGGCCACCCAGCTCTGATGTGGGCTCAGCTGCTGAACCCGGCACCCGACCTGCTGCCCTTGACACCACTCATCAGGTGGTCTCTGCTTGAGGGCAGGGCTTCAGGGAGGGCCCCGGCACAGAAGGGCCCTGGGGCCAGGCCAGTGCGCCTGCCGTTGCCGCTCTGGGCGCCAGGGGGCAGCAGAGACCTGGGTGCTGCAGGCAGGCAGGCTCCGGTGGGAAACGGGAATCTTGCCTCCCTGGGTTCCAGGAGTGCATCCACGGCTCCCCGCCGTGCACAGGGCCCGCCTCCCAGCCTGACTGTAGCAGGAAGGGGCAGGGAGACCTTCTGTCTGCCTCCCTCTGGTTGGGACAGCCCTGCTGCCCAAGTATCCAGTTCCTTACACTGTGTGCTCAGCACCACACGGGCGCTGCAGACTGTGTGGCATGACCCCCACACACACCCAGGAGAGGGGGGCAGGGGCCCGGGGCTGGGCTGGGAGGAGGGGGGCAGGGGTCCGGGAGGAGGGGGGGCAGGGCCCCGGCACGCCCACCTGCTTGACGGTGAAGTCGTTGACCAGGTGGTGGTTGTGCTCGTTGAGGCCGCAGTGCAGGCTGACGCAGTCGCTGTGGAACAGCAGGTCCTGCAGGGTGCTCACCCGCTGCAGCCCCAGCGCCCGCTCGATGCCATCCGAGAGGTACGGGTCGTAGAAGAGCACGTTGAAGCCGAAGGCCTTGGCCCGCAGGGCCACCGCCTGCCCCACACGACCTGCGGGCCCGGGCACGGTCACCACACAGCCCACCCACAGCTGCCCGCCCGCTGTCCCGCAGCCCGTGTGGGGACCGTGTGGCCACACCCCCTGCCGTGTACAGGGCCTCCCAGACTCCCAGAGGTGCTGGCTGTGACCACAGGTCCGCAGGGACCCGACCCCAGGGCTGGCCACTGTGAGGGCCAGCATCACCCGAGCTTGGCTTGAGCCAGTCCTGGACACATCCGCAGTGCAGGAGGGGTCCAGGCCAGCGGCCACCCTGAAGCTGGTCACACAGGGCCCCCAGGAGGAGCAGGAGGAGGAGGGCGGGGGTGGCTGTCCTGGGTGCGGGGGCTCTGATGGGCACAGCCCCAGCCCACTGGAGGCAGCTGAGAACAGGTGGACAAAGGCCTGTCCCACACAACACGTGGCCACTCAGGCAGATGAATCTATCGTGTGCTGGGCAGACTGCAGCCAGGGCAGGCCCTCGGAGGAGGTCACACGGGTCAGAGGCCTGACCGTGACCTTGACAGAGGGGCAGTAAGCGAGCTCCAAGAGCGTGGGCTGGGGGTGTGGGGCAGAAGAGGGCATGGCCTGAAAACAGAGAATTTGTGGCCACTCTACTGGGGACTGGTTAGGAGGAACCTGCTACCAGTGGGAAGACTGGAAGATGCCAGGTTGGTGGGAGGGGGACCCCAGACTCTGTTCAATCCCAGGTCACCTGCTGGGACGGAATGGGAGACAGAGGACAGAGCAGGTGTGTGTGTTGGGGGGGGGACTGGGGACTGGGCTCTGGTCAGCGGCATAGGCAGGCCGTAAGGCTCCCAGTGAAAGCACAGAGGCCTCGGTGCCCAGACAGGTGAGGGTGACAAGGTCTAGCCCTGCGAGGGCACATGG